AGAGTTTAAAATTAGTAAAAAGACGAAGTGTTCTTGAGTTTGATGCTGTTATTCTGTAGTTTATTATTTTCTTATTATTGAAGTGATTACTTTTAAAAACAGACTAACTTTGGATTTTATCTAAAATATGTAAATACAAAGCAGAAGAACCAGAACAGATTCGACAGCAATATTAAATGAACGAATGGTAAACATATAAATGTCTATGATAAATTCTGTAAGAAAGAAATGTCGACCACGACACTGCAAACCAACATTCTTAGCGACAAGCCAAGAAATTGATTCACTATATATATTTTTAGTGTACTGTTATTATTTTTAATATAAAATTTTCTATGACATGAATTATATAAAAATTTAACAACAATTTGAAACTGCTATCCAGGTGAGTTGTTCATATTTATAGAATTAGAAAGAGAATGTTGAGTTAACACACGTAGACATCTTGTTTAAGAAAGCCTGGCAAAATGTGTAATATTATTTACATTATTTACATTTAAACTAGTGTTCTTTTGTTTTGTTGTTTTTTATCACAACGTTGTGCCCATCGGCCTGCTTATGGAGCTTGTCGATTCGAGTAACCTTCAGAGAAATTCGAACTGAATCTTATATTTAATCAACGGAGTTATTTCTACCACTAAAATCATTCTTGCGAAAAAAAAAAACACATTTCGAAATAGGATGTATGTGAAGATTGAACATTCTAGAAATTTTCTTCACTAAATCACTATTTGTAAAAGAATAACATCGGAATGCAATCGATCTGTAGATTTAATATTTTGGAATTGTCCCCAACTAAAGCACCATTTGAAATACTATCGGAATGGGAACGATGTGTAGATTTAATATTCTGGAAATTTCCACTACTAAATAAATATTTGGAAAAGAATACAATCGCAACTGGATCTATGTGTAGATTTAACATTCTGGAAATTTCCAGAAATAACACCACTATTTGGAAAAAGAATAAAATCGGAATAGGATGTATGTGGAGATTTAACATTCTAGAAATTACCTATATTAAATCATTATTTGGAAAAGAATAGAATCGAAATTAGAACGATGTGTAGATTTAATATTCTGGAAATTTTCTCCACTAAATCACTATATGCAATCGGAATGAGATCGATGTGTAGATTTGAATTTCTGGAAATTTTCTACAGTACATCTCTATTTGGAAAAGAATGGCATCAGAATGCGATCGATGTGTAAATTTAACATTCTGGAAATTTCCTCCAGTAAATGACTATGCTGCAAATAATAAAACCGGAATGGTGTAATCGTTCAACACCCTCCCCGCTCGTTCAAGACTTCCAACATCGCGGATGGGCGCTGAAATGACAGCTTCAATCTAGAACTAACCCTATCCCATGTTGTAATTTAAGTTTGATGATAACGCAGCTAAGATCGAATTGTCGCAGGTATCTTCATGTTGGGCTGGTCCAAGCCGGGCGATGACGCACAGAAAAAATAAGACTCGAATAAATTGAACAAAAATTAAATACTCTTTTTATATCAGTCCTTTGTACAATAATTGGTTAATATCAGAGTTCGCATGTAACTGATTATTTCTTTCACGAAATCACTATTTAGATAGAAACAGGATTGGGTTCGATCCATCGATTTACCATTCTGGAAAGTTCCACCCACTGTATCAATATTTGGAAAAGAATAGAATCGGGATCGGATCAATGCTTACTTTTGAATATTTTGGAAATTCCCTCTATTAAATTACTATTTGGAAAAGAATAGAATCAGATGCGTTCGATGTCTACATCTAACAGTTTGTAAATTTCCCCCATTAAATCATTGTTTGGAAAAGAATACAATCTGAATGGGATCGGTGTGTATATTTAACATTTTGGAAATTTCCTCCACTAAAATGACTATTTGGAAAAGAATACAATCGCAATGGGATTGATGTGTAAATTTAATATTCTGGAAATTTACTCGAGAAAATTACTATTTGGAAAAGAATGGCATCGGAATGCAATCGATGTGTAGAATTAGAATTTTGGAAATTCACTTAATCACTCTTTGGGTAAGAATAGAACCGGAATTGGATCGACGTATAGATTTAACAATCTGGAAATTTCTTCCACTAAATCATTATTTGGAAAAGGCTGAATTAGATCTATAAGTATATTTAATATTCTGGAAATTTGTGACAATAAATCACTATTTGGAAAAGGCTGAATTGGATCTATAAGTATATTTAATATTCTAGAAAATTCCTACACTAAATCACTATTTGGAAAAGGCTGAATTAGTTCTATAAGTATATTTAATATTCTAGAAATTTCCTACAGTAAATCACTATTTGGAAAAGAATGAAATCGAAATGTGGTTGATGCGTAGATTGAAGATTCTGGCAACTTTTCTATTAAATCATTATTTGACAAGGAGTAAATTCGGAATGGGATCGATTTATAAATTTAATATTTTGAAAATTTTCTGCACTAAATCATTATTTGGAAAAGAATAGAATTTGAATGGGTTCGATGTGTAGATTTAACGTTGTAGAAACTTTCTGATAGTAATTCACTATTTTGAAAAGAATAATCCGGAATATATATTGAGAGCAAAAGACTATTATATGGATAAAAATTTAATTGAGTAGCTAAACAAAAATAGAAAAGTACGATTTGTCTTCTCCTCAAATGTATTCACCCTTTACAGCGACGCTAACCTAATGAAGCTGGTGACCCTACCAGTTTTTATTATCAATGGTCGTAACCTTAACGATAAAAAATCGCTGATGACACTGTGTTGATTGCCATCTCGGAAAGAAAATTACAGATCGTCTGAGACTGGGAGCGTGAAAAAAGGACTATAAACTGCAAAGTTGGAAAAAAAAGTCTATCGAAAAAGTTCAAGATGCGAGTTATAGATTCAATATATCAACATCAATCAGACTTTCTTTTTTTCTTTTTATGTGCCATGCCCTTTCAGGGCGTAGTCGATCATGGCTCTCTACCTCCCTCCATCCCTTGCAGTTCCTTCCCCCTGCTTCCTCCCCCAGACCACGTTCTGTCATCCACTTGCTTAAGTGTGCTAGGTATGTCACGCGTTGTTTTCCCCTTGTCTCTCTTGTCCCCTATTCGACCCGTGAGTGTCAGATTCTCCAAGCCCTCCTTTTACATTATGTGTCACAGAAACTTCAGCTGTCTCTTCCTGATATTAAGTATAAGCCTCCTTCTTCTTTGCAACCTCAGATGTCATCGTTGCTCACACGCTCGTTCCATGCTATCCTTAGCATCCTTCTGTAGAACCACATGTCGCTTCGAGTCTCTTCTTCATCTTTAAGGAAATCGTCCAACATTCACTGCCGTAAAGAAGGACAGATATCACATAACATTTCAGTAATCCTTTCTTTGTTATCCTCTTGTCTCGCAGTACTCTGCCCAACTTTTGGAATGTGTCCTTGGCCATCCTGATACGCCTACGGATCTCAGTGTCGCACTTACTGTCCTTTGTCAAGACGCTTCTCAGGTATTTAAACTTCCACGTCTGCTTGATTTTAGTGTCCTCGATCTGCAAATTGCATTTCAGGCTCATCCTTTTACTGATGACCATGCATTCTGTTTTCTTGTACTTTATGCTTAGTCCCTTCTTCACACTCTCCGTCGCTACTCAGAAGTTTAAATATGTGGAAAGTGTTTTAATAAATAATGCAAATGCATCACCAAGATCCAAACATGCAATGGATTAAAAATAGAAGCCTTACAAAAGTTAAACAAGGTGATGAGAAAGAGAAAAAAAAACAACCTTTCTTATAAACGAAGAAAAGATTGTTAGTTTACTGCTATATCCATCTATTATATGGCATTAAATGCTGGGAAATGTCCCCACGGGTGAAGAAAAAAAAACCCTAAAGAAATGCTACGAACGGAGCGATTAAACAGCAAAGAAGTTTTAAAGAAAATTGTAACAGACAGAACACATCTACTGAGAATCAGGAAAAGACATAAAAAACATAGAGGGCTTGGAAAAGTTAACACTCACAGGATTTATTGTGGGTAATTGAAGACAATGATCCTGATGAGCTTGTGCGAATGGTTGGTGGAACGTTGGGCACTAGCGTTAGCAAATAGGGGAAAAAACTGCTATGACAATCTCTGTGTCTTTTCTATAAATACTTTCATAGTAATTTTTTGGGTGTGCTCGACGCTATGGTACATAGAGTTTTTGTATTTAAGCGCAGTACTAGACTGACGTCGAGATCCCATCAGTTTACGGTTGAGCTGGCTAGACGTAACCGTAAATTCTATGATAGCAGTTTTTTTCTCGCACTTCTTGCTTGATGAACTCCCTTCTGGCTCCATGCTTTCTAACTTTAATCTGCAAAAATTTAGATGCAATGTTAATCGCTATCTAATTTCTTCCTGATCACTCTTTCCTCTTCCCGCTCATTATTAATGTTTCTGTTCCTAATTCTTCCACACCCTGTAACTCCTTGTGTCTTAGTGGCTTTACTCCCTTGCATGGAGTGATAACGACTACGAAAATAAAAAGAGAAAGAAAGAAAAAGAGAGTCACAAGGGATTGAAGAGTTCTGGAGAGCCATGAAACTCTATGATATATTAGGTTGGTGCAAAAATAATGACGTAAAAATGTCGTTTTTTGACGTATTTTTAACGTCAAAAAACGTCATTATTTTCGCACCCACCTAATAGAAGAAGAAATCAGCATTCAATGTTCAATCTGCGATTTGTCTTTACGGAGGTAATTCACTGTTCCTTGGGGCTCATAGTAACGTTCATGGTTTTCATCCTGGGTTAACAGAAACAGTATTAGGAGCACTTTCAATTCCATTGCGTAAATTTGTAATCAAGGAGGCCGTTTTAGCGCGAGTAAGCGGGCGACGCTTAATGGTTCACAGAAAAATGGCGAAATTGCAGAGGCAAAGTAGATATTTGTCGGACGAAGGCAATTTTGTTACAAGGTCATGTTTCTGTTGTACAAAACGAGCAATGTATAAGCATTAATACTTTGCGTGACTAGTGTGTTAAGCACTGCTCAACGGTAAGTGTGCTTACAAGGTGATTATAGTGGTTGGTAAGAATAAGATGAAATGAAACTGTTGGAGGAAAACCAGCAGGTGAAGAAGAAGTAGTAGAATGCGAAGGAGAAGGAAAAGGAGAACTAGCAGCAAGAGGGGAAGAAGAAACTGCAGGAGAAAAAAAAAAAACAGAAGCAGCAGCAACAGGGAGAGAGTAACCAGAGGAAAAGTAGCAGGAGAGACAGAGCAAGGGTAGGAGGAGAGAAAAAAACAACAGGAAGAGAAGGTGAAACAGAAGAGAAGCAGTAACTGCAGAAAAAAAAAGGAGTATGAAAAGAAGGGGCAGAAGTAGAAGCAGGAGAAAGAAAAGGTGTAGAAAATGAAGCAGCAGTAAGAGGAGGAGGAGCAGTTGAAAAACGAGCAAGAAGTAGCAGGAGGAGGAGGAGGAGTATGTAAAGAGGCAGTAAGAGGCAAAGGAGTAGAAGAAGCCCCAGGAAGAAAAAAAGGGGGGTGTTAGAAGCAGGAGGAGGAAATTATCTCATAGTTCTTATTTTTTATTTATTAATTGTTAAATAATTGAAAAAGATTCTCGACATTTGGCGAAACCAGATGAGATCACTTGAGGAATTGAAAAAAAAAAATTGTTTCTGCAATTTATAATATTTGAGAGAATTACCAAAAGCTCTGACTATAATGAATTTTAAATCTAAGTTTTTTATTTGATAGAATTATTTTGGTTGTTGCTATTCTACACAAAAATCCACGGCAGGATTATATATTTTTCAATACTCTGCCCACATATATATGTACGTATGTAATAGCGATTTTCCAAGCGTAGTTTAGATGTGGCACAGGGCCGAAAGTAGGGGGTACCCAGTGAGGATCGAACTCACTTCTCAGTCTTAATTGTTCTAGCGAGACAAGCTTTCTAACCATTACACCAACTCGAGGCGCCCTATGCATGTATGTAATATGCAAGTGAACACTGAGTGTTCAACACCAAGCAACGACACAGATGCTTGAACGAAATCTTCATCTGTCGACTTAGATAATTTATATTTACATATCTTTAAACTACGTTTCTATCATATATATATATATATATATATATATATATATATATATATATATATATATATATATATATATATATATATATATATATATATATAAATAAGTGCTCTATGTGTAAAATTTAGTATAGATAAAATATGTGTAAAAATGCAAAATGATTAAATATATCTATATCTATATATCTATATATATCTATCTATCTATATATCTATATATATTTATTTATTTATGCATTTATTTATGCGGCAATTGGAAAAATATTTTTTGCCGATGCCTTTCATCTTGCGACTTTTTCAAGGCAAACAATGAAAGCAAAATGGTTTTGTTGTCATAGTTACATTCCAAAATTTAAAGAAGAGCGAGACGCTCCGGCGTAAGCCTCTTTCTGGCTAATGTTAACTTCATTTATTCTAAGAGTTTGTTTTTTTTTGTTTTTTATGTCGGCAATATAGTCAAATTTCTTATACCATTTTGCTTTCATTTTTTGCCTTGATAAAGTCGGAAGACAAAACGCGTCTACAAAAAATAAAGATATTTCTCCAAATGTCATTTATTATACCAATTTCTTATCCACAGAATTTTTCTAGGAATTTTACTATATATTTATGGATAAAGATTTAGATATTGGTAAAATATATTGATTAATTTATTTTAAGGGATTTTAATTAAATGTTATTTCTCTTAGGTTTTAAACAAAATTTCTTAGATTATCAATCAATATCCCAAATTATTCATACCGTATTTTAGTTTTTTTTTGTGGATAGTCTGAGTAAGTCATTTTATTCACTCTATTTTAAACGTTTTTTTTTAAGTGTAGTTAAGAATAAAAAGGAAAGTTATAGAAAAAAAAGATCAATCAAATAAGAAATAATAAAGAATTTAAAAGGGGAAGAAAATAAAAAGAAAACAAAACTAAGTCGTAAGACGAGCCAATATAATAACTCAGATTTTTTATTTTATTTTATTAATGCATATATATTCATTAGTTTGATTTTTTTTCTTCTCCTTAAAAAAAACCCCTGTTTTGGCTGCATGTTGGAAAATCAGTACAACAAAGCATACCAGATTTATAACATCAAATAACCCAAGTGTAAACTTGATTAGTTGCCGTTTTCTGGGGGAATTTATATAAAGCACGTCCTAAAGCTCGTAGCAAATTTACTCTGGGTGCAGGCTGAATACTAATTATATTCGTTCGGGTCGTCCATCGAAGAAGTCTGTTGTTTATTTAGACCCGAAACTTCTAGTGACATGGAAGCAAAAACACTGACGACACACCTAGTGTCGGCATTTAAAGGTGTAATTTTAACAAATGTATCTTTAAGAAGACAATATGAATAAAGATAAAAAGCAACTTGATAATGTTCTTGAGTGGGGACGCGATGTATTGGTAAAGAAAGTTTTTCTTTTGTCTTATATATATATATATATATATATATGTATATTTGTGAAGACTATAAATGTTACTTTAGCAAGTACATATGTTTGAGAAGATGTTCATTAGTATTTATAACGAGTGAAACTAATTTATGCCAATGCATATAATTGAAAGTCTTATCAAACACTCGTTAATTTCACTGTAAATAAACAAGTGATGTCTCCTCAAACACGCCTAATCACTAAAATATCTTTCATAGCAATAAGAAAGTAAGAATGAAAGAATATATATATATATATATATATATATATATATATATATATATATATATATATATATATATATAAAAGAAATAATCATACCTAGAATCAATCAGCAATATTAATGCGATTAATGGCTAAATCACTTCGCTAGTAGAACATAATGTATGCATTAAAATACTGTTAATTCATGGAAGTTTAAAAGAAAAAAAATTACAGCCAGACGATAAAGACATGGATCTTCGAAAGTACTTGCTTAACTTAAAAATATATACACTAGAAACATCTGACAACAGTTTTTTAAATGAGGATCACATCATTCAATGGATTAACAGTATTTTAATGCATACATTATGTTCTACTAGCGAAGTGATTTCGCCATTAATCGCATTAATATTGCTGATTGATTCTAGGTATGATTATTTCTTTATATACAAAATATATGCTGCCTAATATAATATGTTTATATATATATATATATATATACATATTGATCTTTGTAAATTACTTAAGATCAGAACTGTTTGGATGAATAATTAATGAATTGAAGACGATTATGAAAGAAACATTTACGAATTTAAATAAACGGTTATATATAAAAGGGATCTTTTATAAAACAATATACGCAGTACATTAATCATTGATCGTAGTAGGTCTGACAGTATTTTTGACTTTGTCAAATAGTTTTAATTAGAAAAGAGATTTATATATAATAAGTTTATTCGCTGCAGACAATTTAAAAATGCTTTGCACAACTAAAAAATGGTGATTTTTTTAACTTCTGCTTGTTATTTAGAGGTTATGGTTCTCCATGGCTTTCTTTATTCTTTGTGAATTTCCATGACGTCCCGTAGAAGATTGTAGAGTAGTTTCCCGTTGCTTCCTGCACCGTTTTGAATTTAGGGTTATCATTCTCCTAGACTGACTGCCGAAGCTAGGGGCTCGGTCAGCTTAATAATTATTTGGGTCTCATATTCTCTGTCCAATTTTTGATTTCTTACTTTTATTTATTATGACTCTTTCAGCAAACAGATTGATCATTAAAAAAATTTCTGTGATTCTTTTTGACGCAGAAGTAAGATATTATTTTTTAAAATTCAGTAGGAAGTATCCTGTCACGAAGCATGTAGGCTTTAGAGAGGACCATCGATCACCGAACCTCATGGACTGACGCTACAGAATCACAGTACCCAAATAACAGATATCAAATTACATGAGAACTTTCAACAAGAGTAAAATATGAACACGAAGAGAAAATAATGGCATAATTAAGATGTTGACATTTTACATTACTCCAAAGAAAATGTTACGAACGAAGCCGTCATTAATAATGGAAAGAGCGATGACAGTTACAGCACGTGAGAAACCTATTTTCTTGGGAAGCTGTTTTAAGAGAAAGAGTTTATAAATTTAAGCCGACATTAGCATTGACTACTCGCTCAATGAATGCAGAATATTTCCTCAGAAGAAAATAGCGAATATGGCCATTATCACACGAGGCGTACTGAAAAAGATTTCATCTTGACCAATAAGGGGTTTAGGTAAAAGAATAAGAAACATTGATACTTTGTTAACTGTTCAGATTTTAGGAATTCATTTTATTGGTAAAACAGTGTAATTTAATCTGCTTTATATTCGTGCATCGAAATTAAATTCGATGACGTGTTAATGCAATTGAAAAGAAAATTACTTTTTCTTGTCATGCAAGATGACACGAAAGAAAATTGAAATGCAGTCTTGGACGGTCTGGAATGAAGAAATGGTGAGATTCTGAATCTCTGTCTTCTTTACAAAATACATGCCAGAATTGCTTGTTAATTATCATTACCATACGTCTAAGGATTTTATCAGAGCATTAGCAAATGAAGGAAGTGCGTTAAATGTTGTTTTTTATTCTGTAAGTGACAAATTCCTCATGCGAGGCGTGTAATCAACTTTAACCTTTTATTTTAAAACTGTATATATGAAGGGGATCAATAAGTTCGTAGCGCGAAACTCATATAAGCCGAATTGTTATCTGAGATGTCAGTGTAATGTTTTATGTAGGAGATTGTAGTTCACCAATGAATTAAGTGCACTGACAAGAAAGAAAAGAGATTAGATTGAAAAATAAATATTTACCGTAAATTGTGGCGTACAAGCCGACCTGGCGTACAATTCGATCTCAAGATTCTAGCACAAAATTCTGAGTTAGGTTTTCTATTTACTGTATATGTTGACCCCCCCTATATATATATATATATATATATATATATATATATATATATATATATATATATATATATATATATATATGCGGCGATCAACGTATATATATATATATATATATATATATATATATATATATAAATTCGTCGCTGAGGTTTTCACCGATCGGCAACAGTCGCCGCTTAGTATGAACCTCTCTGATGTTGAGCACTTTTATCTATAATTGCAGCATAACTTAAAACTATATACACACACACACACACACACACACATATATATATATATATATATATATATATATACACACACCTATATATATATACATACATATATATATATATATACACACACTCATATATATATATATATATATATATATATATATATATATATATATGTGTGTGTGTGTCTGTGTCTGTTTGTGCGTGTGGGTGTGTTTGTATGAGTGTGTCTGTGTGACTACTCTTGGAGGTCCACCTTGACTAAGTTATTAAGTGTTTCCCTTTTATATTGCAAAATATTCATTTCAGATGCCGGTTAAGGAACATAACGTTTCGTTAGAAGACATGAGAGCTGAACTCCTATGAAATATCAATATTCTTATATAACAGTGAATGCCGGACATTTTACTCACAGACGAAGAGAAGATTTGCGGCATCAGAGATATGTTTCTCCAGAAGAATGGTAAGAATATCTCATGAGGAAAATAGAAACTAAAAGGACAATTATAGTTAGAATCAGAAAGAGGCAGTTGAAATTTTGGGGATGCATAATGAAGAAAGAAGGTTTGGAAAATTAGACCCTCACAGGACCTGTCAAAGGCAAGAGGAACAGAGTAAAATAGAAAGGGTGGGATAGTAAATAGAGAAAAAACTGCTAAGAGCTACGAAGGATAGGAAGTTGTGAAGAGTCATGATTGCTCACGTCCTGAAAGGACACGGCAAATAAAAAAGAACTAATCTATTAAGAAATAGCTTGAGGTGTTGACTTCCGTGTAGCATAGATTGCAATGTTCTATCGATGTACTGAAAAAACATATCTTTATGTGCATAATAATAAGAATTATAAGTTTAATGAAGATCATAACTAAATTATTGGTATTATATGCCTTGAATATTGCTGACACATATGGTCCGGTCTCTCGTTGTATATCTAGAGATTCTTGATAAAATCCAAAGAATAATCTGCAATATTATTGGTCCTGACCTGGCGTCTCGGCTTGAGTTATTTCCCCCCCGCTGTAATGTAGCATCCCTGTGCCTTTTCGGTAAATACTTTCATGGTAATTGTTCTATTTGAGCTCTTCAATACGGTATCTAAACTTTATGAATTTAAGCGCAATACTAGGTTGGCGACAAGGTCTTATCAATTTACAGTTGAATTTGCTAGGTGTAACCATAAGTTCTATGCTAAGAGTTTCTTTTCTTTCACTCCTGGCTTGAGGAATATCTCTTTCGGCTCCATACTTTCCAGCCGACTTTGATCTTCAAAAATTTAAATGCAATGTCTATCATTATCTTTTGTCTTTCTGATCACTCTTATTTTGTTCTTGCTCCTTAATAATATTTCTCTTTTTTTCTTTTTTTCACACTCAGTATTCCTTTGCGTCTTAGTGGCATTACTGCCTTGCATCGGGTGATATGATTTAAAAAAACCAAAAAAAAAAAAAAAACCAAAAACACTTATTGCATATTAAAACGAAGCAAACTCGGAGCTTTCCGAACAGATCATTGACTGAGATTCCTTAATACTTAAGTGCTCTTAGAATTCGAGATGCTTTCGTTATATTTTCGCCTGGATGGTCACGACAACTCATTTAAATTCCGGCACCTCCAGGTTTTTTCTTAGGCACTTCGGTATCATTCCAAAATGCACTGACAACAACTGCTACGACTATAACCATTTTTTTTATTGTTATTAATATTAGTAATAATAATATTAGTAGAATTATAAAATAATCTTACACATAGTAATTTAGAATAATAAGAACATTATATGTGTCTTGGCATAGAATATGTGTTAACATGCCATTGTCACAAACAAGTAAGTTATGAATTCTGTCCTCACTGCCATGATAAGCTTTATTCGCTGATATAGTAATAATATTGGAACATTTATTATGTCATTAACTTCATCATTTATCAGCGACAATAAAATATTAATGATAAATATAATGATTGAATAAATTACTGCAAATAACACATTAGAGAATAATATATATATATATATATATATATATATATATATATATATATATATATATATATAATGATATATTTGGTAATCCGTATAAATAATTCCAAAGAGGATATAGATCCAGAGAGAGAGCTCAATGTAATAATAGAGCAAATAATAATAATTAAAAGATCATCGTAATATTTTATCTAATTAAAACCGATTCTACGGTTTTAACCCATCAGACCAAACATTTTCATAGAAATAAATGGATAAAAATTTTACCAGGCACAAAAGAAATTATCAAAAAAAAGAAAGAAAGAAAAGGGGATATGTATTCAAAATGGAGGAATGGAATAAATGAAGGGGCTGAGAAGGTAAAGCGAAGAGAGAGAGAGAGAGAGAGAGAGAGAGAGAGAGAGAAAGAGAAAGTCTGTCAAAGGACATATGTGCGAAGTCGTAGGTATGAGAACAGACATGTTGACCTATTGATATTGGATGTGTACAATGAAGTAGAGAGTATGCCATCATTATTTGACTTAATACAATCTTTCCTGTCAAACCGTGAAATGAACGTTCTATGAATGCTGGTCACTATTTTACTAAGTAAAGGTTTTCAAATGAAAAGATTTAAAATTGACAACTTTTTTTTCCATTTCACAGAAACAAACATTAAACACTTCGATCTCCCTTTCCTTCCTTCCTTCCTTCCTTCCTTCCTTCCTTCCTTCCTTACTTACTTTCTTTCTTTCTTTCTTTCTTTCTTTCTTTCTTTCTTTTATCACTGAAACCAAGTAGTGTCTCTGATATGCCACGCGGACAAAACGGAATAGTTCATTATTTATAAGTTATTGGCGGGTGTAAGGGTCGTGCAAACTAACTAAGAAACTGTTGAAACTTGACTAATGCATGGAATAATAATGCAACACAAAATGTACTTAGAACAAAATGTATTGAAACAAGAAAGTGTACACAATATTTACATATAGTCTTTTGTATATTCTTGGGAAGACCGTTCCTGGAGAATGTGTTGACTGAGTCGCAGTCGGGCAGAATCTCTGGTTGAATTTCTTGATTCCTCTCTCTCTTCCCGGTACCAACCATATTTATATGGTCGGTACTCCACTATGCAAATTAGGTGGATCCTACCACAACAGAAAAAAAATGAGCATGAGAGGGACATGAAGATTTGTTATATGATGATATGTTTCATGATGAACTGCAAATTCGACAGAAGGAAACAAGAAATCTATTGGCAGGTTGTGGTTTGGAGACCAAAGAACGCATAGACTATCAAAGTGCTACGCTGCTTTTTCCTTTATATATGAAGAACAAGAAAACTAATTGGGCAGCACTGATCTCCTCTCTGATGGGATAAAGATAATTACCAGTTACAGAAAATAATTCTTAACTTGATTGAACACTTTTCGAGTCACCTTTGTTGATCAAAATCCTTTTAAAGCCAACGAACGCAAAGAAAAGGCGATGACTTCTTTTCCTAAGAAAATTATCAGAAAGTAAACACGGCTACGGTTCGAACTTGAATCGTTGATTTTAACTTCCTGGTCGATAATTGTTACTCCATTCACAATATTGAATTCCGAAGATTGAAAATAAATAAATGTGAATAACTCAAAGCAGGGAGTCTGTTATTGATTGAATCGGTTTGTACTACGTGTGTCTTGTGTCTGTGTGTTGGCGCCACTAGACTTGTTGCTTCAAAGCTAATACGACACCGAAACGAGCCAGAAATCCCTTTATTCAAGGCCTTAGACAATATATACATCCATATATATATATATATATATATATATATATATATATATATATATATATATATATGTGTGTGTGTGTGTGTGTGCGCGCGCGTGTGTGATGCTAGTTATTGAGACTTCAGTAAATATTTGTACGAGATCTTTGGAAATTTCTTAGCTCCACTTAAAAAGGATGGACTTAGAAATTTTCATCGCTCTCTCGACCAATAAACAGTAACGTGCACACACACACACACACACACACACACACATATATATATATATATATATATATATATATATATATATATATATAATAGGCTCAAACACTAATATTCCATGGTTAAAATTTATTACATTGGAATCGTCTGATCAATTAATCAGACCTATAATTTAAAAAGCAATTAAATAAATTATAAACATGGAATATTAGTGTTTGAACATATATATATATATATATATATATATATATATATATATATATATATATATATATATATATATATATATATATATATATATATATATATATGTGTGTGTGTGTGTGTGTGTGTGTATGTGTGTATATATATATATATATATATATATATATATATATATACCGGTTAAAAGCAAAATAGTTCAAATCATGTAACATTTTTCCATCCCCAAAATGTTTAATATCTAAAAAGCACTAAACTAACTGCGTTTCTTTTTTCAGGTTTTCAGATAAGACATTTGGCCATCTTGATACCATTCGATGTAAGAATCACTAAAACACACTTTTAGTTATTCAGCTAGAAAAGGACAGATTAAAATCTTTTTGTGTCAAAAGCAATAGTGAGAGGAAAAAAGATCAGTCAGGCCTTCAGTAAGGTTACCAATATTCATACTCTGACTTCTATCTTCAACGTCCATTCAAGAACCATCAAGAGAACGGTGAATAAGTTTAAAAAAGAGGAAACAGTAAAGAGGAAAAGTAGATCAGGTGGTCACAACAGGAAGAGACCCATCATTTCAACTTAGAGCTAAAACGATCAATTAGAAAAGGTCCAACTCAATACATGAGACGTTTGGCACACGAGAGAGGAGTTTCAGCTATGACAGTCTAAAGAGCAGCGAAAAAAACTTGAACATGAAATCGTACGTGAAACCTTTGATGCAGGACAGAATGTTACAATGTTAGAGAGGGAGAAGATCATCTTGAGTATGTTGGGAAATGCTCCTGAGATAATATATCCGATCCTTAGCTTAATTAATGACACATTTTCGTTTATGATCGATTTCATCACGATTCTTCTGTTAAGCTTGGAGAGTCATTATAAATTCTTATTGCTCAAAGTAGAGTCCAATAGTGTTATAAAAACCTCGGAGAATTTCAGTAAGATATCTTTAATCATTTCTATGATACAACGGTTCAAAGCTTAATCTAATAATTGGACAATTTTACTTTTTGCTGTTACACGATTTGGACAATTTTGCTGTTACACCCGGTATATATATATATATATATATATATATATATATATATATAAATCTCACTTTCACACGGAAACATACGCACACATACGCACACACACATATGTATTTGCGAATAAGATATTTCATATCAAATAAAATGGTAGCGATAAAATCTTCTTAAGTCCTAAATAGTCAATGACAATTTCAATTGAAATATTCAGTGTGCTATTTCAATATTGATTCGGATTTATTTGTTTAGCGTTTTCAAACTCACAATTGCATTCGAGATACTTTTACAGCTCTCCATTAGAGGGTACAAGGTTTTGCATATCTTTTCATCGTAACTAATGCGAAACTAATATTTAGCTCCCACTCTCAGCACATTCATATCAGATAAGTCAATTCATAAATTTCATTTCTGACGGATTCATTTCACACTGTTTTCCCGCAAGAGCTTTATATTCTTTCAATTTCTAAATATTTTTAGTTCTACCTTCCTTTTAAAATTTAATTCTGACAACTGGATTCCTATTTTTTTGTTTTGTTTTTGTTGTTGTGACGTCAACGTTTCTACTGGCTAAACAGTATTCTTCAAAAAGTTTATCGTCTGGAAGAAAGACGAAAACTACATTACTTCATCAGAAAATAACGACAGAAATATGGCCGCTATTGAAAGACCTTATTACAACCGTCTTATGTTAAAGCCGAAATAGTACGAGCACATATTATAGGTGACAAAAATCATTTCATATCCATCCTAAGTCTTTAGTTTCACCAGCTCAGAACTTTACAGCTACGATATGCTATGCCACGTGCACAGGATACAATCCTCATTCCTTTCATATTGTCTTGCTAAGAAAGAAGTTTCACTCAGGCTGCTTCTTCCAGATAAGGGACAATTTGCGTCTTTGAATAAAACACCGAGAGCAGGCTTCCTCGAAAACTATAATCATAACCTCTTTAAGTCTACGGTCATCAGTTTCATATATAGAATAATACAGCGATTAATTTCAGTTTTCATGTTGCGCATAAGTAAAAAGATTATCAGATGTCAGGAATTTAGGTAAGCGTTAATGATAGCTAAATAGAGCGCGTAGAGTGGCAGTTAAAAAGATTATATTATTATATTAGTCTGTCCTTCAAGTAACTTTATCAGCATTCGATAGTCTGGTTTTTATCTGGGTTTTAACAATCGTCAATTGTAAAAACAATTACTAGTTCTCTGAGCCAAAAGCGTATATACGCACCTCTTACAGATGTATGCATATGTACGTATAGTCATATGCATGCATGCACGCACGAACATAAATACATTCATTAAAACACACACAAACACACACACACAGTAGACTTCCATACTCAATTCTCTAGTATTTCCTGACGGAAACGCTTCTCTATTTATCTCGTCCGCGGATGGGGCACCTCGAGGCGGTGTAATATTTAGCAAGCTTGGCTCGCTAGAACAATTACGACTGAGTAGTGAGTTCGATTCTCACTGGGTGCCCCCTAATTTCGGCCTTGTGCCACATCTAAGCTATGCTTGGAAAATCACTAGGGCACCTCGGCGTGGTATAATGGTTAGCAAGCTTGTCTCGCTAGATCAGTTACGACTGAAAAGTGAGTTCGATCCTCACTAGATGCCCCATACTTTCGGCCTTGTGCCACATCTAAGCTATGCTTGGAAAATAACTATGCATATGCACGTATAGACATATACATGCATGCATGCACGCACGAACATAAATACATTCATTAAAACACATACAAACACACACACACACACACAATAGACCTCGCCACTCATTTCTCTAGTATTCCCTGACGGACACGCTTCTCTATTTATCTCGTCCGCGGATGGGGCACCTCGCGGCGGTGTAATGGTTAGCAAGCTTGGCTCACTAGAACATTTACGACTGAGTAGTGAGTTCGACCCTCACTGGGTGCCCCCTAATTTCGGTCTTGTGCCACATCTAAGCTACGCTTGGAAAATCACTATCTTGTCTACGGAATCCTGTCGTGGTCCGCAGATCTGTCCTCTTGTTCACTCCTACCATTCGGCAGTGTCTATAGACACCTCTTTCTGCTCTTCCATCAAGCAAGAACCATCTATTAACAGAACATCTTTCTCTTGCCAACGCAAAGAGTGAGACTTATTTCGTGATTTCCTTCGCTCCTTGGATTGATATTTTTTTTAATAATTCCATAGCGAAATGTGCAACTATGTTCTCTTCCTAGGTGAAAACCGCCATCGAAGCTTTCGGGCCATCACGGAAATACCAAGTGAAACTACTTCTTTGTTGTCTCTTGCTTGTTCAGCCGCCATATTCTGCAGGAATCACTTCCTCCGGCCATATTAGAACGCGAAGTCCGATTGTAACAGACGTCTCTTTTTGTCACCGCTCGTAATGAATGTAAGCGTGTCTATGTTATGGTCCGGTTCCTTGTACCACGGTGATAGTCAAAGGTAGAACCAATAAAGAAGAACTCGAACACGTATATGGAATAACACAGATATATTACAAACAGGAATATATACAGAGAAGTAGAAGTGTTAGTATGAACATTCAGGTTTAGTAGAGAGAACAGTGTAGTCTCGACCAGTATCCCTATTCCAATGTCTTGCAGTAATTGTCTGAACGCGACTCTGTTTCGGACTGCCTCTGACTCGACTCTTGACTCGACTTGAACTACTGACTCGATATTCAGTCACCCCCCCACCACTGGGGCATCATGTGACACAAGGTCGGTTATTTATTGTGGGTTCTCCGAGCCCGTGGGCTCGGCCCAAAAATATGCCCATTGAACCCGTATAAACGGGCTCAGGGCCTGTTTACCTCCCCGAACGAGACTCCGCCCCTCGGCGTAGCCTCGTTCGGGTTCCTCCCCGCCCGAAGGCAGAGAGTTCAACCGAACAGTCGGTTCTGAAGTGAACGACTGACTCTACTTGCCTACTCCTGAGGCGCCTTTATTTATTAAGTATGGAATAGTCCATTATTATTATGGGTAAGGTCCCATAACAGTCTACAAAGAAGCAAAGTTACTATGCGCTGATAGAATAAGATACCGTATAGCCTCCCACAAGTTTGCTTCTATAGAATACTGGCGGCTCTGCAAGAGTGTATCGAACAAGAGAAAATCCCCAGTCCCTCCTCTGCAATCAATTTGATGTGGTGTCATCTCTACCTCATTCCCACCTAGAACAGAGTATCTACTGAATGAAATGCACATAACCCCATTCATGCTATCATTTTTAAACTCGCTCCCCCCCCAAGGCTTGCGGATTCGATTTTATCAGTGTAATTCGCATAAAGAAATCTGCTTCTGAACTGGCTTCTATTCTCTCCATTTACAATAAATGTCTTGCTACTTCTTACATTCCAGCTTTTGGGTAGCCTTCCCCTGCAGTTCCTCTCTTCAAGAATTCTGGGGGATCTTTCGATATCTCGGATTTATCAGTCTACTACTGTTTTTTGGTAACGTATTAGAAACTCTAATCAACGCTGAACTGGTAAAGCATGTTACTGCACACGACCTTCTTTAAACAATATAGCTTCCGTTTCTCCAGATCTGCTGCCTATGGGTTAACAGCCATCATTGAATTTGTCTGTCAAGATTTAGATAAGAACGATGAAGATCGTGTTGCGTCGCTAGATATCAGAAAGGCTTTCGACAGGGTTTGACATGCTTGCCTATCCTCTAACCCACGCTGTTTCCGATTTTAATCAATTCCCATCCCAATGTCATCAGTCCCCAACTAGATATCTAGGCAGATGACACAACTATTTAGTCTCGACTTAGTTGTCTAACAGATCCAACAAAGTAAAACTGGCAATTGCTCTGGAAAACGATCTCTAATCAGAAGTCAACAGAGGCGAGAAATGGCTTATGAATTTTAACGCCTTCAAAACAAAACTGTTTTTATTTAATCACCACAGAGAACTTTTTCTGTATACCGTTAACATGAGTGATGCTAAAGTCTAGGGGAACAACATTTTGCGTTTTCTTGGATCCACGTTTTCTGCTACCATGAGATGGAGTTATTATATAAATTTCAAAGTATACTGCTAGGAAAGTTGGTTTACTGTGTCCATGCAAGACAGCATCCCACTTGCACATTTATAAATCTGCCATTCGCCCGTGCATTGAAGACTGCTGCCATATTTGGTCTGGTTCTCCTATTATATATGTCAAAATTCTTGACAAAATTAAAAAAAAGACTCTGTAATATAACCAATCCTGACTTGGCAACCCGACTAATCACCTTCCCACTGGCACAACTAATCTCTCCTCTGTATTTAATACAAATACTTTCTTGTCAATTCTGATAAACTTTTCTCCTTAGTTCCTCTATTGAATGAGGTTAAGCGTGATACTTGATTGGCAACTAGGTCTGAACTAGTTTGATGCAACTGTATCTTTTATATTAACAGTTTCTTTTTTCGAACTTCCCGCCTGTGGAAATCACTTCCGATTTCTTGCTTCCCTGATAACTACAATCTTCAAAATTTTAAATGCAACGTCAATCGTCATCTTCTGTATTCTTGTTTCCTGTTCTTCTATTGACCATTCTTCTTTCTCCTTACAAACTTCTCATTTTCTTTCACTCTCAGTAAATCCTCACGTCCTAATGGAATTATCGCCTGGCTTGGGGAGAAATATATATATATATATATATATATATATATATATATATATATATATATATATGTGTGTGTGTGTGTGTGTGTGTGTGTGTGTGTGTGTGTGTGTGTGTGTGTGTTGTGCGTGTGTGTATGCGCGTGTGTGTTTTTATATTTTTCTAGTGGTGCAATATGTAATTATTGCAGTAAAACAATATATATTAAAACAAGAATAAGAAAGTATATAGGTTTTTATTTAAAAAAAAAACAGTACTCGATACAGAAGTAGAGCTTAAAATTATAATTATTTTTCTTTAAATATGATTTCATCGCTACACAGAAATTACTATGTTTCGAAACTGAAAATCAAGTCCTAAAGTTTAATTTCAAAGCTATAATTTAGAGCACAGTTTAACCGAAGAAATGTTTTACTCATTTACAAGCTGGAAATGGAGGTGTTATCTGGTGTTTTTCTTTCATTATTACGGGGTCTCTGCTTTGATGAAAGTAGGAATGTTTATTGTATGACAAATTTTTGGAGTCGTGTAAGTTTGGCTTGGGGGGATTTTCGTCTGGCTACAATGGCCTTTTTCTGTCAGGCTCTGTTGTTTTTATTCCTATCTGTTAAAACTCTTACTGATTGATGGTCCATTAGAGTTTTTTTTTGTGTTATTTGTTTGTTTTTTTTCATTGATGATTTCTTATAGGGGTGTTTACATATTATTGGTTTGTATTTTTAATCCTATAGTTTCATACGTAACTAAAATTTATTGAATTTGCTAATAGATTTTTTTATGGTAATGTGTAATTCTTTATATATGGTATTTAGGAATTTTTTAAATGTATTTTAGGATTTAATTTCTATTGTAAATTTTTTTCTATCCATTTTTTTTAAGCGTTTCACTCCAAGCAAGGCGGGAAGCCACTAGCACGCAAGGGGTTACAGAAGATTTGGAGCAAGATCAGATAGGAGTGATAGAGGAAATAATGAGGAGAAGGATAGTGGATAGATCAAGGCAACTGGAGATGTCGATTGACATTACATTTGAATATTTGGAGATTATAGCTCTCAGGGAAACTGGAATCGGGAAAGGGAGTTCCACAGGCGAGAGGGGCGAGATATGAAGCTATTGGAGTGGAAGAGACGGCTACATTTAATAGTGAAAGGGTGAGAGCGAGATGCCAGCCTCGTAGGGCGCTTGAATTCACGAAGTCTGGGAACCAGCGAATGCATCTCCTCGGAGCAATTACCATGAAAGTATTTGTAAAAAAGACAGGGAGAGGCGACGGCGCGTCTGTGAGAGATCGACTGCTACCATGAGATGGAGTTATTATATTGAATAAATTTCCAAGTATACTGCTAGGAAAGTTGGTTTACTGTGTCGTGCAAGGCAATACTTCTCGTCAGCATCCCACTTGCACATTTCTTGCGCATCAAGAAGTCACCATGAAATTTCTGACATGTGACATTCGAACCTGAGTCTCATGGTTGGATCGCGAACGTGACCGGGTGATTAGAACGCTCATTATTACGTAGTCATACAAAGAAAGAACCAGTCTACAGACAAATACTTCTTGATTCTGTGAAATAAGCTAATAATGAAAAAAAAAATCAGTAATAAAGGAGAAGAAATACAGGTTAAAAAAATATGAAAATGAGCAACAGCCAAATATTGTTATCGATTGGCCTAAACAAATAACGAGATGCAATTTAGTGTTATAAACATCAATAGAATGATTCATTTTAACTCGCATATCGAGTGATAATTCAGCTATCGCTTCGTGTAATTTATTCACTTGTCTCTAGATTAGATAATCTAGAGACTATATGCTAGATTTGTGTTCATAGAAATAAAACTGAGATATAGATACTTACGGTTCAAGTCACACTAATACAAATTACGCGACTACAATAAAGAATTCCTTTAACCCATTAGAGTCATAAGTACACCACATGCTCAACAGCCGTAGACGGTGCGTCTATGACAAAACAGTCTGATGAAGTCTATCGCTGTGCAAGCTAAAAATAATGTCTTATATCTTAAAATAATGTCTCAGATGTCGATAGGTCTTCTATATAGAAGACCTATACACGTCTGTTTATATGTCTCTCTGTCCATATCTATGTGACTATCTAACTAATTTACCAAAATTTGCTACAAATCAAATATAAAAGATAGTACGTTTATAGGTGCAAAGGGCGTGGGTATAAGATTCCTGTGTTAGTACAGATACATACTATATATATATATATATATATATATATATATATATATATATACTAATATCCACCGAATACAAGGTCCAAGAGCCACTCAAGGTAGAGGGTTACTGTGTGTTATTGTATGAGAGTAAGAAAGGGCAAGAAGTGACATCTATAAAGTTACTTAGGAAAGATTTGAAGAGCTCAATATTGTAGTGATCAGGAAAACATGCTGCAACAGTTCTTGGGAAGAAGCTGACCGTGTGGAACTTGGTTTTTACTAATGGAAATAACAGAACGGGTGTGTACGTGGATATGCTAGAATTGCAGAAACATTGAAAACAAAAAAAATAAAAAGAAACCAGGTCTAAGAGAGAGAGAGAGAGAGAGAGAGAGAGAGAGAGAGAGAGAGAGAGAGAGAGAGAGAATGGGATTAACAACTTAAAGAGATACCTCAACTTAAAGAGATACAATGTGCTAACTTATTTAAGAAATTAGATTAAGAAAAACTAACCTTGAATAGAATTAGAATCCAACCCAAAACGTCAGGAAAATACAAAAACTTCATCGTGATTTCGCTATTAAAAAGTCCTTAGAACATGAACCCGAGAAGTCATGTTGAATTTTATGTTTTGTATTGTTATATATATATATATATATATATATATATATATATATATATATATATATATATATATATTGAACAATAAAAATATTAAAAAATTAAAATCTTCAGACACACTAGGTTGTAGATTAATATTCTTTCGTTTTTTTTTTTTTTTTTTCATTATTATTTCATTTAGATTCCTCGACTAGTTTCGGCCCAAATGGCCATCATCGGGAGGAGAAATATTTCTGCTTGCTGGTAGCAGTAAACTACGGAAATGAATGTCTTGCTGGAGAAAATGAACTTTTGTCTGTAGTTTTCATTTGTTTTTTTTTATTTTTTTATCTTTTTAGCATGAATCTTTTAACATTCCTTGTGTTGGTCAAATAGTCTCTTTTAAGTTGTTATTTGGGGTATAAGCTGGATGGATCTATGCTGCTCTGAATTCCCGTTGTCATTTTGACACTTTTATTGGTCCTGGAGAGGGGATGTGTCTCTGTTTAGTGTTTGTGTGTGTGTTATTTGGTTCTTAGGGAGTGTGTAAGTATGATATGTGTAAGCGTGTGTATTGCTGTGGGTGTGTGTTATCATTTGGCTCATAAGGGAGTGAGTGAGTATGATGTGTGTATATTTGTGTGGGTGTGTGTATAAGTGTGAGGCCTCCACACCTCCGTAAGCATGTCTGTTTTGTGTGGGTGAGAAATGTGGGTAGGTTTTGATTTGTTGAGTTATATATTAGTACTATCAATATTGTTAAATGTATGGTTTAGCCCGGCTGGATATTGTGTTTTTAGACGTTGTATCCACTTATTTTCATGGGACTCTAAAATCTTTCTAATGTTATCTGCTCTGAACTTTTCTATTCTTATATATATATATATATATATATATATATATATATATATATATATATATATATATATATATGCCGGGTGTAACAGCAAAATTGTCCAAATCGTGAAGCAGCATGGTATAATTGTCCATCCCACAAAATTCTTAATGTCTAAAAAAACAATAAAATAACTGAATTGTTTTTTTCCGGGTTTACAGATAAGACGTTTAGCCATCTTAACACCATCTATCGTATGAATCACGGTAAAACGCTTTGAGTTATTCAGATAGAAAGTGAACAGGTTAAAATATTTTTGTGTCAACCCCACTGTCTTCCCAACTGAGCAATGGTGAGTGAAAAAGATCATTGAGGTCTTCAGTAATTGTACCATCATTCATGCTTTGGTTTTTATCTTCAAAGTCCGTCCAAGAGCCATTTAAGAGAACGGTGAATAACTTAAAAAAGAGTGAAAACTAGTGAGAAAAACTGGATCAGGAGGTCATAACAGGAAGAAGGATCATTTCAACTTAGAGCTAAATACATTCTAATTGTTCGAAGTAGAGTCCAATAGTGTTATAAAAAAAGCCCGGAGAATTCCAGTAAGATATCTTTAATCATTTCTAAGAAAGAACGGTTCAAAGATTAATTTAACAATTGAACAATTTTGCAGTTACACGATTTGAACAATTTTGCTGTTACACGATTTGAACAATTTTGCAGTTACACGATTTGAACAATTTTGCTGTTACACGATTTGAACAATTTTGCAGTTACACGATTTGAACAATTTTGCAGTTACACGATTTGAACAATTTTGCTGTTACACGATTTGAACAATTTTGCAGTTACACGATTTGAATAATTTTGCTGTTACACCCGGTATGTATGTATATATTTCGATGCGCAGTTATGTATCAAATTAATATGCATTTGTGTATAGATTTGCTCTTATACATGAATATGAATATGATATACTTATATGAATGCCCTCATGCATACATATACAGATAGATAGTGTGCGCCAGGTAATTGAGAACAATTTTTAATATAAAGTAAAAGATACAATCAACAGAAAAATACACTATTAAAGAACCGTTGTCTTTCCTCTCTTAGCTGGTAAATCCGACTGATTTCAAAGTATCTGATACAATTCTCGAACAAATGTCTCCATTTATTTCTATCCCGGACAACTCATTCATTATTCTTTTTATCATTGGAACATCATCAGTTAACTGAAATTTTGATTCATCGCAGCTCATGTTTATGAATTAAACATTGAAATACATTGTTGACAAACTTTATTTTATTTCTGAGATTTATCTAAGACACAAAACTTGCATTAAATAGTCTTCTTCTCGAAAGTCTCTTGTTTTTTGAAGTTTTGACTTCTGCTGATAGTTTTTGCAGATCCCCCCCCAGGCCCTTAAGAAACGTAACTGTAAAATTCAGCAAAGTGTCATCCCTGCGTGATGCGACTTTGAGCCATCCGGATCCTTTCTTCCTCGCAGATCCCCGTTGCTTCAAAACGTTGAGCTATTCTCTTAACATGTGACAGAGAAACAGGGATTTCTTTTGTCCTGGACATTTTAGAATAGCTGAAGTCGACAGATTTTGTCTTGAAATTTATTTAACTTTGGACACATAATATTCAATAATTTAGTTTAATTTTAGTTTAGTTTTTACCTTAGCACGATTGTATGCAGGCTCATGCCAAAGCTAATTCTAAAGTGTAGTAAATTCGTTTTTCACTGGGCACCTCACTAATGTGATCTTGCATAACACTAAGCTAATCTTAGTTGCGTTTTAAGATCATTAGCAAGCGTTTCACGGGTGTGATCCTCACTGAAGCAGTTTATGTTTTATTTTCCTACTAAACTCAGCCAGGATTATTAAAGATAAATAGATGCTTATTGAAGAGCGATAGTTTGCAAGGTCATATCGCAAAATATTTTCAAGAAAAATGAAGTTTTTCCTCATTGGGTACCTCGATCATCTTATTTTGTACCTCACGGAGCTAAGCTTTGTCAATTGGTAAACAATTCAACCAGTCTATATTCATTTAAAAGTTGTGTTTAATGTGTAGAAAATATATAACTGTAAAAAAACCTACGCAAGCCTCGTCTTAGAAAGTGAATTCAGATATTGATTTAATAAAAGAAGTTAGGTTTTTTTCTCAGGATTATTAATATAGTACACGTAAAAATGGCCGGATAAGACGTGTTACACGTGCATACACAGACAGGAATATATATATATATATATATATATATATATATATATATATACAGGGTGGATCAAACATATTTTTTATAACACTGAGGTGGATTCCTCACACCAAGACAAGGTCAAAATCCAGATGAACATATATCCGCAGATCCTTCGTTTTTGATTTATTAAGTTTAAAGTTTACGGTAGACGCTGTTAAATGTACAATCCAAGATACAATCCCAAATAATTTTACAAAAAATTGGGGGCGGGTTCTTGACATATTCGAAACATATGCCCCCCCCCCCCCAAAAGGATCGAGGTTGGGGAACGCGCAGACCATGGAACTGGTCCCTTCCTACCTATCCAACTTTCATGGTCGATGTTAGGCATTCCATTGCAAACAATGTGACTAAAATGTGCTGGTGACCCATCATGCATGAACAACATGCATCTTTGTATTAGAAGGTCTACATCCTCGAGTAGATCTGGAAGTGTGTTCGAAATAAAGGTCCTGTAAACAGTTCCTGTAAGACGCACTGGGTGAACATATGGACCTATCATACAGTCACTTGCAATTCCAACCCACAAATTATTCGTAAACGGAAGCTGGTGTCTAGCCTGTATTGTAGCATGGGGTTTCGGAAACCACCAACTATTATAGGAGAAAGTGGAGAAAGAAAACGGAAAGAAAGTTTAGAGATAACTGAGAAGTAAAAAAAACAGAAGAAGAAAAGCGACTGAAAGAAACGCTGGAAAGAAAACGGAAGGAAAATTTAGTGATAACTGGGAAGTAAAAAAACAGAAAAAGTAAAGTGGCTGAAAGAAACATTTGAAAGAATACGGAAGGAAAGTTTAGTGATAAGTGGGAAATAAAAAAAACTGTAAAAGACAAGCGGCTGAAAGAAACGCGTGATAGAAAACGGAATGAGAGTTTAGAGATTACTGGGAATAAAAAAAGAGAAAAAGAAAAGCAGCTGAAAGAAATGCGTGAAAGAAAACGGAAAGAAAATTTAGAGATAACTGGGAAGTAAAAAAAAAAAAAAAAAAAAAACAGAAAAAGAAAAGCGGCTCAATGAAACGCGTTGAAAGAAAACGGAAAGAAAGTTTATAGATAACTGGGAAGTAAAAAAAACAGAAAAAGAAAAGCGGCTGACTGAAACGCTTGAAAGAAAACGGAAGGAAAATTTAGTGATAACTCGGAAATAAAAAAAAAACAGTAAAAGACAAGCGGCTGAAAGAAACGCGTGATAGAAAACGGAATGAGAGTTTAGAGATTACTGGGAATAAAAAAAACAGAAAAAGAAAAGCGGCTGAAAGAAACGTTTGAAAGAAAACGGAAGGAAAGTTTAGTGCTAACAGGGAAATAAAAAAAACAGTAAAAGACAAGCGACTGAAAGAAACTTGTGATAGAAAACGGAAAAGAGCTTAGAGATAACTGGGAATAAAAAAAGAGAAAAAGTAAAGCAGCTGAAAGAAACACGTGAAAGAAAACGGAAAGAAAGTTTAGAGATAACTGCGAAGTAAAAAAAAAACAGAAAGAGAAAAGCGGCTGAAAGAAAAGCGTGAAAGGAACAAGACGAAAGAAAGATACAGGCAAACAGATGTCCTAACTAAAGATTTATTATTTCTTTACCAATAGTTTAGTTAAAATGTATGAATCTTTAGATTACATTTTATCTTTTAAAGCATGACACCCATTTGTCATAGGAATGAAGGGAGATATTAGGATATTAATATGTATTATCAATGATATGTTAATTTTTATATCTAAAGTGTTTTTCGTTAACTCTCTCTCTCTCTTTCTATATACAGTGGAGGGAAACAAATATTTGTACACATACAAATTTTTAATTTAATTGGATTTCCAACTAATGAATAAACATACTTTTTACATAATTAACTGTATACAAATGCATAACAACTAAATATGCATAGAAAACAGAAAAAATGTTTAATAGAAATAAATGCCATTTATCCATTTTAATGAAGGAAAAAAGTGCAAATTTCACATTTTAAAACTTTTAAATTTCTTTAATACTCTAGATTATTCAAGTGGAATATTCTTGAATGTTCCAATAATATTATCAGTAGTTATTTTCAGCCTAAAAAATACAAAGACAACATTCTGTAATTAATATTCGTGCAAGAAGGTTATTATCATGGCAAGAGTTAAAGAATTGACAAATTCGCAAAAAAAATGATTTTTCAGCTCTGGAAAGAAGGTAAAAGTTACAAGAAAATCGCCATTAGCTTCAACCATGACATCCAGTCGACTTCGGAATCTCCTGCATCTCTCCTGGGCGGTTTAAGGTGGTGAATGCTGCCATAATTCTTCCTTGTAATTCATCTTTGATCTTACAAAGAGTTTTGTTGGTATCTTGCACAACTGCGCCCCACACATAATAATCAAGGGGGTTGCAGTCTGGTGAGTTAGGTGGTCAGATGTAAGGAGTGATAGCGTCTCAGAAATTGACTGGCTTCTGCTGCTTGTGTGGCATGGGGTAGAATTCTGTAGCTACACATACGGTCTTCCAGCAGTCACCCTCTTGACCACGGCAGCACTATCTCCTCAAGGCACTTGATGTAGGGATCCGTGTTGTGCCTGAGGACCTCACCAACAAATTTGGGAGTTCCTTTCTTATTAGAACGATCACAATGATTTTTCCGAGCTGTCGTACCTTCGTAATCACCTTTAGACTCATCCAACTCTTTTCGAATCCTCTGCACTATTCCCAGATTGAAACCTAAACACTGAAATGTTCTTATTGGAACTTCCGGCGTGAATGCCAAGTAGTACAGCATGCTTTTTTTCCAAATTTCTGGCGAAGTGAATTGCCTCTTGGTGTTCTTTTTCTCACAGACGGTGCCCAATAGACCCTACTATACTATGCAGTCGACAAAATAAAATAGCCCAACACACATGCGCGAAATTAAAAATATAAAATGGCGACAATTTACCTATCGCATCATGTATATATATATATATATATATATATATATATATATATATATATATATATATATATATATTTATATATATATGTGTGTGTGTGTATGTATGTATGTGTGTGTGTATATGTGGTATGTGTGCGTGTGTGGCTCCGTGCATGAGTGTGCATATAAATGTTTCCTTATACTTTACTTACTTCTATCTGTGCATCTATCGATCTACCTCTGATCCGTTGATCACTCAGTTAATAAAATATTTACTCAATAAATCAATGTGATTATTTATTGGAAAAATTGTTAATTTATTTTCATGTCAGCGCGTCAGTGAGTTTATTCGGAGATCGATCACAATTATCGATTAGTTAGTAAATCTATGTGGCTATGTCTTTAAACCGTTTGAATCATTTTAGTTGCATCTCAATCTTTTTTCCATATTTATATTTTTTTTGTCTTTTTACACAAGATTGTTTTAAATCTTCATATCTAAATTATGTTTTTCTCTGCTTTTATTATCTATCTATCTATCTATCTATCTATCTATCTATCTATCTATCTATCTATTACTTTAAATCTATCTATCTATCTATCTATCTATCTATCTATCTATCTATCTATGACATTTGATCTTTTAATTCTGCGTGCTTAAATTTTGTTTCGGCGATCTTCCCTCTGCCTTTCATATGTATGCATGTATAATAGTATATATGTATGTCTATATCCTTATTTTGCAAGCACCATTACATCATTTCAAGTTTTATTACAAAACCTTTCACGTCAAATGTTCAAAATCGTCGTCATTACTGTCATCATCGTCATCCACCTTCATCTGTGGCCAACAACTCAGTTATCGAAGCCCGCTACTATTTCCCTCTTTCTCTTTCACGTCTACTTGCTGCAGTCACTTGATGTTCACCCAATCTCCGATACTACCCGCTCTATTATTTAGTTTTCGAAGCAACTGTATACACCGTGAACCAACCAGTCACAGTCTGGCATAGTATAGGCTCCGGTTCCGCTGGAAATAGCTGGTTTCACTGGAAGTAGCAGTTGTGGCTGACGTTCAATGGAAAGAGGTGGATAGAATTAAGTGTCGGGTACCTTACATTGCCTGCTGCTGTTTTTGACGCAGATTTATCAGGCATTGTAGTGATTGTTTTTATTGGAAACGGAGTTTCCGTGTCGCGTTGTTTAGTTCTAGGGAGAGCAATTTTTTTTTCTGAACACATGTCGGAATGCGTTCATCTCAAAACAGAATTGACCGGACCGACAAGACTCGTCGCATGAGCAGGGTCAGGCATAGTTGGAATAATTACAAGTATGAGAAATTGTGGTTAGACGATGCCGAAAGAGGTGAGTAGAATTTCGCCAAGCTTTTAATTTGCATACAAATATGTTTATCAGAGAAAATGGATAGAAACTGGTGTTTCCAAAAAGCAAAAAAAAAAAAAAAAAAAAAAAAAAAGGCCCAAAAACAACAAAAAAAGCCCCCAAAACAAAAAAACAAAACAAAAAACAAAACAAGAAAAAACAAAACAAAAACAAAAAAAACAAAAACAAAATACAAAAAAAAACAACAACAAAAGAACAGAAAAAGAGTGGGTGAGTGAGTGAGTAGTGAGTACGTGAGAGAGTCAGTGAGAGAAACAACTTTTGCTAAATGCAACATTTTGAAAATTGGCGGAAAAATAACAACAGATTATAAATGTTAATGGAAAATCTATCTATCTATCTATCTATCTATCTATCTATCTATCTCGGTCTTTACGTATCTATCTATCTGTCTCGGTCTTTTCATATCTATCTATCTATCTATCTATCTATCTATCTCGGTCTTTACGTATCTATCTATCTGTCTCGGTCTTTTCATATCTATCTATCTATCTATCTATCTATCTATCTATCTATCTATCTCGGTCTTTGCGTATCTATCTATCTGTCCCCGTCATTTCGTATCTATCTATCTATCTATCTATCTATCTATCTATCTATCTATTATTGTCCGTCATATATACCTATCTGTTTATTTCTCTATTTAGCCTGTTCAAGCACATGTACATATACATTATTGTAAATCCTAAATCTAACCACGGGAATGCCGATATAACTATTGAACAATATTTGCGTTTGTGCGTAAAAGTATAAGCTCACGTCACATTGCAATAAGTGAACACATACAAATGTCTTTTTCTCTCTCTTCTATGTAAATCCGAATTTGTGCTGAAAAATATGTGATAGACAAGGGATTTCCCATATTTCTCTCTTTGGCCAGATTTTGTGTATTGAACTAATCACTTCTCGACACCACACACACACACACACACACACACACACACACACACTCGTGCACGCGTACGTGTGTGTGTGTACATGTGCCTAATAGATTTATGTGCTCTCATAAAAAAATTGTTTGACTGTTAGTTTCTTGCGCGAGCTATAGCCCCCTATCGCTATGTAACAGCATGGACACCGAAATCAACAGTGCATAGCGAGTAGCAGTTTCTTGCCTCAAGCAATAATCAGACAATAATATCACACTGCTTATATATATATATCCATTATATCTGGGATATTGAACATCCTTTTTCCACATACATATAGCGAATTTTAATATCTATCTATCTTGTCTGTCTGCCTCTCTCTCTCTCTCTCTCTCTCTCTCTCTCTCTCTATATATATATATATATATATATATATATATATATAGGTGCAAATTACGCAAAAATGAAAATAACACTGGCATTTGATTTTAACAGATATATTTACCAACATTACATTACACAAAAATATCTTGAAATAGTAAAGAGTAAATTTATTCAATAAAATCGCTATTGGCTTTCAACCACGGCCTCCAGGCGACTTCAGAATCTCCTGTATATCTTCTGGACGGTCTCCTTGATTAAATTGGTGAATATTGCCGTAATCCTTGCTTTCATTTCACGTTTAGTGTTACAAAGGGTTTTGTCGGTCTATAGCTCACCTGCGCGCCACACATAATAATCATGGGGGGGGTGAAGTCTGGTGATTTTAGTGGCCAAATGCAAGGGGTGATGTGGTCACAGGAATTGTCTGACACTCATGACTGAGTTGATTTGTTTGTATGGCATGGTGTAGCGTCCTCTTGCCCGACATAGTGTTTTCCAGCAGGTATCCTCTTGCCCCAGAGAAGCACTACCTCCTCAAGGCACTTGATGGAGGTCTTCGTGTTGAGACTGAAGCCCTGTAGGAAGTCGAATGGGGGGGCATAACGTTGCCATCATTAGTGATCACTTCGGGTTCACCATTAGACTCATCCAACTCTTTCTGAATCCTCTGCACTGTACTCAAATTGACACCCAAACATTCTGAAATGTTCGTATTGGAGCTTCCGGCAATAATGACAAGCAGTACGGTGCTCTTTTTCTTATAGACGGAGCCTATCTAACTCTACTGTAAAGTGGACAAAATCAAGAACAAACAACGCACATTCGCGAAATTAAAAAAAAATATATATATAAAATGGCGACAATTTACCCATCGCACCCTGAATATATTACGGGGTGTTCAATATACTGATCCCCTATGAGGATGTTTAACTTCATTGAAAAATACGTATTTATAACACTATATATATATGTGTGTGCGTGACTGTGAGTATGTGTGGGTGTTTGTGTGCATGTGATTATCTATAGTTTTCAGTATTCAACACTGAATAAACGCGAAATTATGCCTTTACACACACACACACACACACACGCACACACACACACACACACACACACACACACACACACACACATATATATATATATATATATATATATATATATAAATTGATATTTTACGTTATAAAATTCACTCACAGCTCACTGCCGTTATATGAGTGCCCATAAATATCTACACACAAAAATAACGTCAGATTAAACGCACACACCTTTACCTGCATAAAATATTTTTTCTTTTAAGATATACTGAGATTGTATAATTGTTCACCATATAAACAGACACACACACACACAAAATATCTCATACATATTCATACATGTATTAAGCAGGTACTCATTACATTGTAAAGACGTTCTTTTCTCGACATATATAGACAAATCCTTGCATATTTATACAAATTGGTCGCTGAAAAGAAAAACAGCACAGCATGATGAAAAATGCCCCAAAATTTATAAAAATTTTATCGTCAAAATATTTATGTTATTATTAAGAGGAAAGACCAAAGTAACTTTTATTATTCTATTAAATTTTTAATCCTTTCTAACACGTTCAAAATTTTATTTAAAATCTCGATTTTTTTACGTCAGCAGTCGACGTAATATTTACGATTAGTGATTTGGAGCGTTTTCTTCAGGTGAAAAACACATTGTTTTGGAAATTCTTTCAAAAATCAAATAATTGTCGGGTTTTAATGAAACTTTCAGGACCTATTCACAAAGGAATTAAATTATTTCTGAAATTTTTTTCATTAGAAAATCTTGGTAAAATATTTTTACATATCTTACCCCCACCCCCACTTATTTAATTTCAGGAAATTTCCACAAATTAAATTGCAATCTCAAAAGTTGTTTTATTAGTTAGAAGCAGGACTCTTTGAAAAACTTATCAATTTCATCAGTTTTTTGTGAAACAGCACTCCAAGTTGCCGAAAATCTCCTGAATCGTAAAATAAAAAATGCAATAAAACTATGACATTAATTAATTAGAAAAGTCTTTAATTGCTTTTATAAATAAGATTTACTAAGGACACTATAGTTTTAAGAAAAAAACTTTTTGATGAATAATAAATTTTTACAAGAATTGTTTTCATTTTGAAAATTTTAATTATAATAATTTAAATCGTTTAAAATTCTGTATTACTTAAATCCGGTTAGGCGATATTGTATTTAGTGAAAACTATATTGAAAATCAGAATTGAAAACCTTAATAAAGTCGTTTAACCCAATATTTTAAAAATAACTTTTAATTTTTTAGCATAGAAAAATTCCCATTTTACTAAGTATGGTCTGCCACGTGTTTTAAGTGTTGTCCTCCCTGAAAAGTTTGGCTGTCTACAATTCTTTCATTTTCATTTCTGTGTTTAAATCGTGTTTACATTTCAATAGGCTTTGCAAATCATCCCTTCAAAATTTTAAACTTTAAAATTTAAAATAATTTTTGCTTTTTAAATTCCTATTTCACTAAATATTTTTATTTTACGTATTTATTTTAGTGTGGGTCATACTTCAGTTAAGTAAATTTTATGTTAATACCTTTTTACTTTTTAATTTTTTTAGTTTATACTTTTTAGTGAGAGTTATTTTGATAAAAACCCAAGGTTAAAGATAAAGGAACTAAAATGCAATAAAATATTAGATAATTGCTGAAAATACGTCAATTTTTAAAAATTACTAGGTAGTTAAAAACAAAAAAACAAAGCGTTC